TCTGTTTGCGTTTGGCCAGGAGTTCCTTGCTCATCCATGCAGGTCTCCTGCCCGCTTTGCTGGACTTCTTACTCAGAGGGATGCACTGTTCTTGAGCTTGGAGGAGGTGATGCTTGAATATTAACCAGCTTTCTTGGACCCCTCTTCCTTCTTGGGCCCTCCTTAAGTAGGTCCCTGAAGAGGCCAAAGTTAGCTCTCCTGAAGTGCAGGGTTGTGATCCTACTTATTGCCCTGCTCCCTCCTTGTAGGATCCTGAACTCCACCATCTCATGGTCACTGCAGCCAAGGCTGCCTCCAGCCTGCACATCTCCAACTAGTCCTTCCTTGTTTGTTAGTACAAGGTCCAGCAGCACACCTCTCCTCCATCACCTGGGTCAAGAAATTATCCTCAATGCTCTGCAGGAACCTCCTCAACTGTTTGTGTCTTGCTTTGTTGTTCCTCTAGCAGATGTCCCGGTGGTTGAAGTCTCTCATGAGAACTAGGGCCTGTGATTGTGAAACTACTTCCAGGTGTCTGCAAAAGGCCTCATTTACTTCCTCTTCCTGATCAGGTGGCCTGTTACAAACACCCACAACTGTGTCATTCATGTTAGCCCACCCTTTAATCCTTACCCATAAGCTCTCAGCTCACTCGTCATCCACCCCTAGGCAGAGTTCCATACATTCTAGTTGCTCCCTCACATAAAGAGCAACTCCACCACCTCGTCGTCCTGGCCTGTCTTTCCTAAAAAGCATGTAGCCATTCATGACAACATTCCAGTCATGTGAGCTATCCCACCATGTCTCTGTAACTGCAATGAGATCACAGCCCTATGAATGCACCACGATCTCTAATTCTTCCTGTTTGTTCTCCATAGTGTGTGCATTGGTGTTCAGGCACTTCAGAGAGGTATTCAAGCATGCCGATTTCCCAGGAGGGGTGCAAGAGGTTCCTCCATAATCGTGTCTTGTTGGCACTTCCTTGACTGCATAGACTTGCTGGAGGTATCCCCACTTGAGCCCTGCTTTGCTGTCTGAGTGGTGTCTATAACTCTCCCCTTCTCCCATCTTTCCTTATCAGATAACTGATAAAATAACTGGTGGACACCAAGTTGAACATGAGTCAGCAATATGCCCCTGCAGCTAAAAAGGCCAACAGCATCCTGGGCTGTATTAGGAAGACTCTTGCCTGCAGGTCGAGGGAGGTGATCTTTCCCCTCTGCTGAGTGCTGATGAGCCCACATCTGGAATACTGTGCCCATTTCTGGGCTTCCCAGCACAAAAGACATATGGACATACTGAAGCAAGTCAAGTGAACGGCCACAAAGATGATTAAGGGAGTATCTGTCATATGAGAAAAAGCTAAGAGAATTGGGATATTTTAGAATGAAAAAGAGAAAGATAGGGGGGATCCTCTTAACTTCTTCAGTAACTTCTTTCCTTTGAGGGTGCCTGAGCCCTGGAACAGGTTGCCCAGAGAGGTTATGGAATCGCCTTCCCTGGAGATATTCAAAACCCATCTGGACGTGATCCTGTGCAGTGTGCTCTAGATGACCCTGCTTGTGCAGGGAGGTTGGACTAGATGATCTCCAGAGGTCCCTTCCAGTCTCAACCATGCTGTGATTCTGTGTGATTCTGTGATCTTTTCAATTTGTGTAAATACCTCATGGGGGAAAGTAAAGAAGTTGGGGTCACAATCTTAGTGGCATTCAGTAACAAGATAAGTGGCAATGGGCACAATTTGAAATGCATAAGAAAATACTTTTTTACTGTGAGTCTGGTCAAACACTGGAACAACTTACATTGGCAGGTTGTGGAGTCTCCATCCTTGGAGATATTCAGAACTCCACTGGAAAAGGTCAACTGAGCAACTGAGCAACCTGCTCTAGCAGAACCTGATCAGCAGAAAAGCTGTTATAAGAGGGAAACAGAGTGTTCAGTTGTTCTTATGCCATACAGACAGCCCTAATGGCAACTGTACACAGCAGCTACCTTTGTAACCAAAGACCCTAAAAATTCTGCACAGAGGACTTGCCCAAAGTTACATAACTAGCAGTCTCAGCAGCCTAGCTGCTGCCTACAATGACTAAACACCACTCTAAGAGTAAAATTCAACACATGTTCCTGTCTAACTATGTCATGAACTAAATCTGAGTGACGTCTATACATACTGGCCCAGAATTTAGCTCTATAGCTTTTCAGAAGCACAGAATATTTAAACTACAAGAGAGAAGAGCTGAGCTGCTGACCAAGAGGCCTCATGATCTAGAAATATCAACATGTGGAGCAATTTTCTAATAATATATTGTTTTCTTAGTCTATCAGAAAAATAGGAAAAAATCTGATAAGAACTGAAGCCAAGTAATTCAGATCAGAAATAAAGTATATTATAATTTTTGGTAATGAGGACTAAAAATATTGCATTTATTTATTTTAGGTATATGTCAGACTTACTATCATGTACATTCTTTTACACTCATATTACTGAAAAGTCTGTTTGAACTCAAACAACAACCAGAACCTGATGCAGACATTAGTGAGTGAGATTCTGCGCCAGGCCTGCTGGAGACTGGATGAAATCCTATCTGATCCCATGCTACAGATCTCTGAAACTGCCTCCAGACTGTTAGAGGGATTCCAGAAATATCAAAGCTTTTGTTTTTTTCCACCCATCCTCATGTTCATTCTGTCACATTAAAGTGAAATGAGAATACAGAGGAACAGAAACTGAAAAAAGCTGCAAAAGTAATTACCAGAGAATTTTAGCTTGCTAAAAGTAACCAGCAGTGGGAGATCCAAAGGAAAATTCTAACTTGAGAGGATCTGTAGGCCACTTATTCAAGGACATTTTAGATGCTTATGTGAATCTGGACACCTTTCAAGTTTTGCTCATCCCATGCTAGTAGTTGGGATGATATCCATTCTATATTTTCAGCTGGCTGTGTATCTAAAGAGTGCCTATTTTCTAGATAGAGATGTAAGTAAGCTAACGTGTCCAGTCTGTTATCATCCAAATAAATAACCTCTGATTTTAGTCCTGACTGTACTTAGATATTCAGCATGCTGTGCAGGAACACAAACTTCCAGTGAGGTATTGTAAGTAGGAGCAAACATGGATTTATCAGGAGCAAATCATGTCAAGCTAATCTAATTTTTTTCTACAATAGGATACTGGGTTCAGTGGCCAGGGAGGAACAGCTTACATTAGGGATCATGACATTAGCAAGGTTTTCAGTAGTTTCTGGGAAAATAATATGAGATGAATATGGAAAATGTGGTCTATAATGAATCTCTATAGCGTAGATGCCACAATGGTTGGATAACCATAAATTGCAAGTAAATATCACTAGAAGGATTAACTGATGTAGTTCTGCATGTAGGCTTCTTTTTAATGATCAGCATGATGGAATAAGAATCTGCTTATTAAATTTGCAGATGACAGGAAGCCTGGAGGACTGTAGGTCTATTAGAGGATGGGATTAGAATTTGAAATGTTATTGAGAAATTGGAGAAATAGACCAGAAAACAAAAAGATTAAATGGAGAAAAATGATAAATGTTAAGCTGAAATAGGAATAGTAAAAAGCCATTGTATATGTTGGAGAATGATTGGACAAGTAGCAATTATTTGGAAAAAACACCAAGGAGTCATAAAGGATCACAAACTTGATGTGAACCAGTCATTTCATGTTATTATGAAAAAGGAAAATATCGTGCAAGGTTATGTGAATGAGGGTAAAGAACAGGAAAAATCCAAACACTCCACTCTGTACTGGTAAGGTCTCAGGTCAGAAACATGTCCTGGTTTCTATATCACACTTGAGAAGGATGTAGGTCAATTAGAGAGTGCACAGGGGACTAAAGTGGAAACAATCAAAGGTGAAGCAAGCAAGCTTTATAGGGAAAAAAAGGAAACGGTGTCATTTATCCTGAAGAGTAAAATTAAGAGGGTATATGATAACAGTTTTGCCATGAAGAACTGTTGCCAAAATAAAGGAAATGATCACCATGTCCCTGGTAGACAGGAAAGAAGCAATGGGTCTAAAAGGTAGTTGGAAAGGCCCAGTGAATAGGTCTCCTGGGGAGGAAGTGAAACCTCCAGAGGAAGTTTTAAGAATAAGTTTGACATCAGACTAGTTCATGCTGCACTGCTAGAGGATGAGATCCAAGGAGGTATCTTGAAGTCTCTTCCCTGCTTTACTTTGATTCTGTAACTAGCCATAAAGATTCAGATAAAGCCAGTTCTTGCTTTATTGAGACTAGTCTGGAAACTTCATATGATACAAGAAGTTTATCAGCAGTCAGTTATCTAATTTTTTTTTTATTATTGCAGTGAGAAAAAAAGAAAGATGCATTCCAACCCAAGGGGTTGTTACTAATCAAAGTGGCAGCAGTTGCACTGCCGTTGATAGTTCATTGCTACTTTGCAAAAAAATGCATAATACGGAATGAAGCAGGTCTCACACTGCTCTTACCATTCAAGGGAGTGACATCTCCAGCCAATATGCAGCTATTGAATTCTACTTCCTGCGTTTGTAAAGCCACTTATTTGATCCTTCTCATTACTCACACAGGACATTGCTGTTGTGATGGTTGTGGTCATACTGGGAGAGTCTGTTTTTCAGGTGTTGGGGGCCAATGTTATGTATAGCTTTGCATTGGAAGAAGATGCAGCACCAGAATAAGGGCTATGAGGTTCCAGGAATTCCCAGGAATGCACAACTGATGTTGATATATAAATCATGATTTGTTCCTGTTTGGACATGCTTCTTACCTTTGCAGACAACTCTAATTTGCAGGCTCAGCAGAAGGGGAGCAGTTTCCCATTATCGTGTTCTTTTAGCATCTGGAATTTTAAGTGAACAACATAACAGAATCTTCTGGTTTCTTAAGCATTTTCTTCTCCCTTCTTTAATCATTCTGAGATTTCCTGTAAATACTGTGAGCTGTAATTATCATCTGCAGATCAGTGAGTTTGCTAAGCTGTTTCTTAAAGGGATTTTTTTTTTCTGTGAATTTCAGATGACCAAGAACAAAATTATAGTCACCTGATACTAAACAGTGCCACCCAGACACCTACACATGGTAAGAGAAAACAAAGAGCAAAATTACACATGTTGTAACTTTTCTCTGCCAACCAGTAACATTTACTGGTATCAAAGTATGTTTAATGTTAATTGAACAAGTCCTGTGGCAATGATGCATGAATAATGTATTCCATTAACATTAAACATAGGACCATATTTTTCATTGCTACACACAATTAAATATGGCCTAATCTTTTACAGCTTTACCTATTAACCTTGTGTTTCCCCATGTCTGGTTGCTCCTTTCTCACTTCCATATCAGCAAGGTGCTCTCAGATTTAACAGGCCAAAACAGTAAAAATGGTAACCAAAGAAAAGTCCTTCTTGTTAGCCAAGCCAGTCAACTGATAGTGCTGATTGTGCAGCATTAAGTAGGTTAGAAAGACAGTGAATGCAGGGCAAGGGCTCCTGAGCTTTTGGCATTGCAGTATAAGGCCCGAGTTTAGTTTCACAGCTAACTCCAAGCAGTCCAGCCCACACCTAACATGGATCTGGCTGGAATGATCTACTGAAGCCCCTGATTCACTACACAGTGTCCCCCTAGTTTCTAATATACAGGATAGGTAAAACCATGAAGAAATCCAGGACTCCCACTGCCCTCTTTTCACAAACAGAAGTGCCTCTTTCTAACCCATTTCCTGTGTTTACTCTTTCACAACATTCCAGGCACTTTATTATTATTATTTTTATTATTATTTTATTTTTATTTTTTGGTGGGAAACTGACATTTCACCGGCCTTAGGAACTTATGAAATGCAGAGCAGCTGTCATGACCTTACACCCACTGCAGGATGGACCAGCACTGACCTATCTCCTGAACCTCAGACCTAACACCTCAGGAGATATCTGGGGCAGCCTATCACCACCGTAGCCTGTCCAGTCATCTCTTCAAAGGCTGAGAGAAGCCCTTCCAGAACTTCTCCAAAGCTTCCCTGCATTTGGTCTTTAAACATAGAAGACAGCTTCTTAAGTGTGAATCCTCCTGCTGATATCACTTTTGTTGAGCTATGGAAGGCCTGGCTTTTCATTTGTGTCACCTCTATATGTGGTTCAGCACATTCATTGCCAGCTCTCTATCCATCCCTCTCTCTTCTTGACTTAATAAACTTGTGGATCCACCTGTTATTCTTTGGCCAGTAGTTTCAACAGTTTAGCTGTTTCTCAAAGATACCCCTTTGTTCTCCCCCCTTAAGGTTCCACTGTCTCATCCCCAATGGGAGAAGTGCTTTTGTTTCCACCTTGGCCAGCATCCTTACTCCTCTCTGTTCAGCCCTCTCCCTCCACCCTTTCTACCTCTTTGACTCTCACCCCTCTTCTGCCTTATCTCCTTCCTCCCTTTGACTTCCTTGGCCCCAGCTTAGCAGAGTCGAGCATGGACAGAATGTCACTCCCTGCAGTGCAGCAGTCACAGACCAGCCAGTCAAATCAGAAGCACCTTCAGCTTCCTAAAGCAACCTTCCTTCTCCATCCAAATCAAGATCACCCATTTCCACCCAAATCAGTTGTTTCCCCTACCTCTGTGGAACCAGTCCAGCCTCTGACTGCACCCTGTCCTCTCTGCTTACCTCCCTATTGATCTGCTACCTTATCTTGGCCTCCTCCATGTTCTTCCCTGCATTATTTACCCTCTGAATGTGAGATATTCATCTAACATTTGCATATGGAGCCACCTCTCTTCTGGGGAAGTGGTAAGTGATGAGTAAATCTCATCATAGTATGTTGGTTCACACTTCCTGTAGCTCTGAATCTCTGTATTTAATATTCTTTTTGTTATGGCATTTGATAAATAGTCTGGAATTAATTTATTGTGAAAGCTGTATGTTGCATAGAAACTTACACAATTCTTTGTTGTAAAAGAGGATGGGAGAACAATTGCTGTTGGAAAGGTCACCTCAAATCTTTGATTTTTCCCCTTCCTACAAGATGGGTCAGGCTGCTCTTTGACCCTCAAGTATCTTTCAGTTGTAAGACTATATGTTTTTTTCCACCTCCCAAAAAGCACAGGAGAAGAAATGGCAGCTTTAAACCTGGTAGTAGCCTGGGAGTATTGAACATGAATTGATAGCCTCGAACACTGCTTAGAATACTTACTTTTGTTTGCATTTTGACTTTTTTAATACAAATGATAAGAGAAGAAAACCTGAGATACAGTGATCGGGCTGGCATTGTATTATCTTCTCTTTGGGATCCCAGGCCTGCCCAGGAGGGCCAGACGAATCCAGTTTACCTGTGTCTCTGCCCAAAAGTTTTTATATTATGTCCATTGCCACGGTCCTTGTTACATTCAATAACTCAAAATAACAACATATTCCAAAACAGTTAAACTTCTCTCTGGACCTGACAGATGCTTTCCTTTTTTATGTACTTGAGAGACAAAATCAAAGCAGACATATTCATGATTTTAGATTAGTGAGTTCCACTTTTTTCGCCCTCTATTCTCATGTCTACTCTGTATCTTAATAGTTTGCTTATGCAAAGCAGATTGAATGGTCTGACTCCAAATAGCTGTATGATTAGGAGTTACATTTTGATCATAAGTTATGCAGGTGGTCATGGACACTTACATTCATGATATTCACGTGTGCTGTTGCTGGTCATCCATTACTTGGTGTGCTAAAAATGTTTGGACCTTTCCAATAAGAAATCAAGGGAGCATTTGGTATTCATAATTTATTGCTGAAATTCTGAGATACGTTAACAAAGCCACAGATATAATTTAATTCCCTTCCTGGATAGGACATGGTATATATTTTCTGTATGATTCTGCAATTCGTAGGTGGACATTACTCATCTCTTTCTTCCTAAACAGTTTGTGAGTTCTGTTTCCTACCCAACCTCTAGGCACCCAGCACATAATGGCACCATCTGCAAAGAGCAGGAGAAGGGAAAGAAAACTGTGTGATGCTCAGACAAGCTCTGCATTGCGTGTGACTGATGGTCACTCTAAACTGAAGCGAAATAATCAAAAAAATGTTCTCAAGTTACCGTGACAAAACAAGCACAACAGTGGATGCAAATGACATGCCACTACAAAAAAAAAAAAAAAAAAAAAATTGCTAACACAGAGTGTAACTTTATCCAGAAAAGTCATAAAATTCCTCCCATGAATGGAAAAGCTCCCCACAACATCCCCAAAAGACTGCCTCACCCATCAGGGATACACTTTACACAGTACACATGAAAGAAAGCATGAGTTGTTGCAAACTGTGGCATACCTGTCAGAATGAGCGTTCAGCTGCTCGGGGCTGATGACCTCTGTCCCATCTTCCACCACCCTAGAAACTCCACAGGTTCCTTACCTTCTCCTATAACTCCCATTAAAATACCAGAGTCTGCAGACTTGCATAATCTTGGGACTGAGCTGGGGAGGCTCTCTACAACCCAGCCATGTCAGAGATTGGACCCAGGGCTCTGCAAGGGGCCTCCTCATTTACAAGGAATGATGAAGGCCAAGTCCCTCAAGCTCCACTTTCCCTTTTCTGTAGTGGCTACTCCTTTACAAAGATAGAGCAAAATGCACCAGCTTATCTCTTTCTTCAAAGCTCTTGGGAAACACAGTGCCCATCTGCTTGGATGGTGAGCCAGAACATCTCTTCCCAGGCATTGTTCAGTCTGTTTGGGGTCACTGTGGATTTAGTAATCTCTTGGAGATTCTTTGGTCAGGGCATCTCCAGGATCAGAGATGCTATTGGACTACAAAGAGCAATAGGATCTTAGTGTGAAGGAGTGATCCAGATGTGCTGTTGCAGTGAAGCAGCTACTCTGCTAAACAGCTTTCTAGGAATAACCTGCTGTATCCCACATGCTTGGCAACTTCATCCTTGTTCAGTTGAGGGACCCACCCCATCGGAGCAGGCTGTGCATCTACAGGATTAGTGATACGGTTACACTGAATTCTTCTGATGCAGGAAGGAATGCCTACTAATTAATGACGAGACTGTATATAATCTACTCTGTCAGGCTGCCATCATTTAATTAGTGTAATGTTGTTTGTAACACAGCTAACAGTTAGAAGAAAATGTCCCTTTCCCCTCTGCCTATCTATCAGGAAGGGTTCACAGAGGGGTGCAATGTGTTTTCTGTGTTTGGAAAATGTGATATGCTGGGGAAGACAATTTCCAGTGAAGATCGCGTGACCACAAACAAGTGGGTCTGTCAAACCATGGTCTGCAGTACCAGGATCTCATTTCTGCTGTTGTTGAGGCCTCTGAACTAGCTAGAATTGCTGTGGGTCTCCCACATCGAAAAGAAGGTTAGTTTTCTTCCGGTGTAGGACCCTTTATGCACCTAATTCACTTTGAGTACACTTAATGCCCCGTTATAAAGATACCTGCACTCCTTTGGAAACCTCATTCTAAATGCTGCTTTCACTGATGTACTTCAGACCTCAGTTCCACTGAAATCATAAGTTTGATGTTGGTTTCATTAGCTCTAGACGTTAGTTTTACATCAGCTGCAGATTTTTAATTCTAAATGAAGAACTCTATACCTGTATTTTGGAAAGATGTAGTGATTTTGCATGTAAAAGGTAAAGGTGAATACTAAAGTATTTATTTCTGTGTATAGCCAAATTTTGCACATGAAATGAAGGTATATCTTTTGATACATTAATTTATCTTATTAGCTATTCAAACCTTATGCAAAATAAGCTCATAAAACCATTTTATTATGCAAAAATAAAATAAGAAAAATATGAAGATAAGGGTACGGAGAAGGACTGGGGCAGCATAGCATTAGCTATAACAGAAACAGTCTGCCTGGGCTCAGTCTCTGTAAAGCTTATTATTTTATTTTTTATTCCTGCTTAACTTTAATCTCATTATAGTTAGTGCATATTTAATTATGTTAAACCACCAAGAGTCTTGTATAAACATTTTTTTTTATATCTGCATAAATAAACAAGCAAATTGGTAAATAATGTAGTTAGTAGGAAGTTCATATCATAATTTTTATACCAGTTCATTGCATTTTTTAATTATCTCTGAAAGTACTGGATAA